CCTCATAACTATAACCACAAGTTATATCCTTAATGTGCAGTATTATTTTGGCTATTTAAATATTCATGATTGACATCTCTGAGGTGTGGCTAAGTTTGAACATGTTTTGCAATCTCTAATATCTTATATGGTTTTGAATTGGAGGTGGGAGCAGTGTTCATTTGGGCAATGTCACAATTTCACTATTCCAGATGTGACTGAAATTCAGAATAAAATGTCATTGACATGTTTCATAGCCAGATGAAAACTGTTCGCTTGATGAATTAAGCAGATGAAGGATATGGAGTTGATTCTAAATGCTGAACATTCATTTGGTAGGAGTTCACTGGAACTCTCAGTATAGGGTCCAAAGATATGTTGGCGAACATGAAGGAGGTTCATTAAAAACTAAAATAAACTTCTCACAAAGACAGAAAAAAACCCTAAACTTCAAGAACAGTCATATCTAAGATACAGTGCATTCTTACTGGCCAGTAAACACCAAAGAGCCTAAAAGATTACTGAATGCAGCTAAAGTGGTTTCATGGCTGCACTTTAATCCTATCTTGATTGTTTCTTTTAAAATCCAGTGTGGTGGTGTACAGAAGTTAATTTTCAAGACAACAGTGTGTTGATGGGGATGTATGAGATGGCGCTGTAATCCTTTCACTATGTAACGTTACATGTAAATTTGAAAGCTCAGAGTTATGAATCTAAAGTGTTTAGTTGTAAGTAAATTTAAATTCACGGCAGTTAAAATCTTCACATTCAACGGCTAGTTCCAGTAATGTTTGTTTTTCATTGTAAAAGATCAACGAACATTTAAATAGTCAGACAGAAACAATGGGGTTAAAGGTTTTTACCTAAACTGCTCAGTAGATGGCAGTCCAACATCAGAGATTTTCGTATTGCTTTTGAACTGTGTGCATGATAGCACAGGGACAACAAGGGAAAGTTTTTTTTTTTTAAAGTTTATTCAAGTTATCCAGAAATTATACATTCTCCTCTAGAGATGAAGAATTCACTCTGTTTTACGTGTTCTCTGATGTCTAAGTTCTTTAATTCAGGATGAACAATGTGAATAGCCAAACTGAACCTATTCAATCAAAGCCACCCCAACTGTGTCTCAGCCCTATTCTTGAAAAATGCAGTAGCCTTGGTAAATCCGTATCACTGTACAGATTTTATACTGTTTTATACAAAAACAAAATCGACACAGAGAACTCTCCTGTGATCTTCAAGAATTCTTTACATGGAAATGCCAAACTCTTTCAAAACTCATGTGGGGAGCAAAGCAGGGATTGTAGAGGGGATTGGCAAAGGTTTTATGAGCCATTCCACAGTGCTCCGAACCTGTTTATCCAGACAGTGAAGCAGCTGGATTCCTGGTTGACTTTGAGTGGAGATGAACCAGTTTCAAATTATTAGAGATTTGATAGAGTTCTGGGATAGAGGGCTTGCCTTGTAAGTCAGGGTAAACAGTACTCACACACACATAGGGTACATACATCAGCAGTGGGGTATGGTCAAACACAGAAAGTACGTTTATGTAACTTTGGGACCCATTTCTCAAAACAGCATGAGATGGGGAGAGAAGAGATCAAAGCATTAGTGTGAACCATGTGCTTTTATTGAAACTGCATGGGATTAACTGTGCCTGTGTGCGAAAAAGCTGAGTAAAAATATAGAGCTATCTTCAGCTTTTAGTGCCACACATACATACACACATAGGGCGATATCACCCTGTAAAAACACAAAAATGTTTATAAAAGTGAATCAGAGCTGCATCACCCTGGTACAAAACAAAGTCTAAAGGAGCACTAGTGGGTGTAAATGTTCATGTTAGATTAAAAACTACCCAGCTATGACTAATCTTATCATACAAGGCAATCACTATGCTGAAACAGGCTTTCAAGTTCAAAAAACTACCTAGTCTATGCAACAGACCATTTCAGTTGAGCCGACACAGATTTACATCTAACCAATGAATAAATGAATAAATCAAAATCACCGAGAAACATGGTAGTGTCAGGTGAGATGCTTACCTTAGATTTTAAAGTGTGTTTCATCCATTAAAGCTCAAAAGTCAAGTTGAAGTTACGTTGCACTGGTTCTTTTATTCATAGAAGATCACATAAACACTGCTAGAAGTCCTTACAGGAATATTAAACATAGCACAGAGGCAGGCAGGCATGAAAAGATCAAAGAGCAAAAATCTCTTTATTAAAATGTATCAATAAATAATCTAGGAGGTGATAAAGTGCTATCAGAAACTGAATGGCAATGGTTAAATGCAACGCAACATTAATAAGTTGACAATCACTTCCCAAACACCATCTCATCTTTGTATCTGGAAAAGAAATAACACCTGAAGTTTTTTAAACTACTGCAGATAAATATGACTTCTCCAACTTAAACATGTAAAAACAGTAAAGGTTTAGCATAATTAATTAGTATTAATAACTTTATATTTTGTATTTATTCATTTACAGATAATGTGACTTGTTTTAAAGTGTGTTATATATTACTTTTTATGTTTTTAGCATGTGGTAGTGGTGAAGTGTTTTTGAAAATAAGGAACGTTTTACTGCAGGCTCCAGATTATGAAGCCTGCAGTAAAACTTGTTGAAGTAAGGAAAGAACGGAGTGAAGGAACACTTTATCTAAGGATCTGAAGTCCATAAGAAGGTATTTGTTCTCCTTTTAGTTCCTCAGTCCTAAAACGTGAGAAACAGCAGGTAAGGTTTCTGTACAGCTGTGGTGTCTGAGTTTGTGTGTGTGCAAAAATACAGTTAAAAATACTACAATATAATGAAGTGACCATCTCTTCTTAAATTAATAGAGTATTTTCTTTTGTTAGGAAAAGCAGTGACTGTGGAGATGGTAATGCACATCTGTTGGCCTCCCATATTTCTCAACAAGTCTTGGATGGATTGCAATTTAATTTTGGACACATGTTCCTGAACCACAAAGGATAAGTCCTAATGACTTTGTTAATTCTTTTCTAGTCTGGCTCTGAGGCTGAACATTTGTGGTATTTAAAGATGGATTTATTTTTCCTTTGTATTTATTGAAGCAGATAATGAGACTAGAACAGAGACTGGATAGCTAGAGGCGCCAGCTTTCAATTCGAGACTTTATGTGCTATTTGGTGTCAGATGTTCGTGGGGGAAAATCTGTGATTTTGAGCTCTGCAGTGAGCCTTTCCACATTTGTAAGGAGCTGCGATTAATACCAGAAGGGCAAGGGAGTGTTTTTTCTTCAGGAATAGCTATGCTAACAGATGTGTTCATCTGAGAATCAAGCTCACAGCATGTACCTTCTATTTTAGCTGACACCCTTCTGTACACTCATACTGCTGAGAAGACCCATCTGTTTTTGAAAAAGAACAACTTCCATGGAAGAATTAGTCAGTGACTTCATAGGCAAAATATTCACAGTAGTCTTGTTTTTATGGAATGAAAGATTGAATCTTTGTGTTTCTTCTCATCAATGGACTACAAGCACATGCTGTTCACAAACCACCAAAACAAATAAATGACTAAACACAAACTATTTTATTGTTCGTCTTATGCTCGAACTGTGATTGAACTTCCAGGACCTAGTAGGCAGCTCACAAGCTGTTTCTCAACTATAACATAACTCTCACCTGACAAAACTCGCACATATTCACAAGTGTAAAACAAACATGCATCCACCAATTTTAAGATAGAAAAGGAAATTACACTAAATAGCATTAATTTCATTACACTGGCACATCCTCACATTATGCAGAAGTATAGTAAATGCTAACAAAAAAGAACCACTGGCCTTCAACTTTTGGCAAAGTATATTCAGGTCTGGTGTCTCTCAGTGTGTTTACAATGTTTCTACATTTATTAGGAGAGGCACAGTATACATATGAAAACAGATATACACATACTATGTTAAATTGCTAAATAAATGCTAAGTTTTGAGAATTTATACATGCAGTGCGAAGATGTCTGTGAGCACTGAATTAAATATTTATTATGTACAAAATAACTAACCTAATGTACATTACATATAGTCAGCAGTTTTAGTATATATACATGCTTGCCTGCATGAACAGATATTTGGCATTGACATGCATTTGAAAGTGACAGGAAAGTTTGCTGCTAGGGTAGCAGTGAGAGGAAAAACAGATTTCCTTTGGTGTTTTGGTGTGTGTGTGTGTATGTGTGGTGGTCTGCAATGATTTTCTCTTCTTGTTTCCTGATTGTCTTTGCGCTAGTCATGAATGATGGACAAGTTCGTACCAATAATTGCTTCTGCAAACCTG